CACTTGTAAGTGATTTTTCTAACTTTAATACACTAAAGTTAAGGTTATATACCTAATTTCTAGTAAGTGGCCCAGCCCCTCCTATATATTTTTATGTATGTGGCCCTCAGTGAAAAAAGTTTGGACACCCCTGGTTTAGGATATTAGAAAGTCATTAAAAAAAAAAAAAAGACCCTTTAACAGTCACGGTGATGCTTGTGTATATTGTGTTTGTGTATATTGTGTTTGTGTATGCAGCACTCCACTGCTTCCTCACCAGTTCTGTCATAGGATTCGTGGCAGGTGTGCGCGATCTCAGCTCCTAGCTGCAAATAGTGTCCGGCCTTGTCGTCAGGTGAGCCATCGGCGCCCAGTGCAAACATGCCTCCGGCGAAGCAGGCCAGGTGGCCCATCTTCCTCTCCAAGTGGCCATTCTTCCACTCGCCAATGAATGTTAGGCCACCGTTGGATTTGCGTACGAGGTGGCGCTCGATGGCCTACAGGAAGAGAGAGCGTGCAATTGTGGAAACAGCAAAGGCTCTCAACATTTCAGAGAAGATGAAGACCCAGAAAAATAGAATATAGCAGTTTGTTTTCAGTAACAACATGCCTGTGTATGAGTGTATTTAACAAGATAAGGTGGGAAACAGGAATGACAACATTAATACTGGTATGTGGACAGAAAAAGGTTACACCGTTTGAATGGTGCATTGACACTGAAGGCAACTGCTTGAGGGTGTGGACGGTCAAACAGAAGAAAACTAAACATAGCAGTGACGGTCACATTTGAAATCCAGCCACATCCTTCACCCTTTGCTCCGCAGCATCTGCTCTGCTCAGTCTCTGACACTCTTAATGATGAGTAGACAGCTTCATTAACATCTGCTTTCTACTAAATCCACTCCTAGTTTACTTGAAAACAAAGCAATGTCTTCCCTTTGCAAAGGTGGATACTGAAGCTGGTCAGCGGGGACTCTGTGGTTATTAAAAAAGAATAACTGCTGACATTTCCAGTTACAGCTCTGACTCATCTGCATGCAGTATAAGATTCTTCATAAAAGAAAACAATCTGTATTTTAACTTTGCAGCATAAGTCACTACGCTGTACCTCGATGGCGTCATCGTAGGTCTTGCGAGCCTCTGTGTCAGTCTTGTCTGACATGAGCCAAGCCTTCAGCAGGTACTCATAAAAACTGTCCCCGAGTCCTCCAACAGACGTGTGATCTGCAGAGAGAGACACACAAAGAAAGCTCCAAGTGTCACCGTGTGAGCGAAAGAGGAAAACCAGCAAGAGCCAAACAAATGAGAAAGCCAAAGTGAATTATTTATTTTTTGACTTTGCCTCAAAGTCCTTGGCAGAGTGTAGCATATGGCATCAAAAGCATTTTTTTTTTTTATCAAAACCTTGGGCATTTTTCTTCTCTACATCCACAATATATCAGCAGTGTGCTTCCTCTCTCGTCCCATTTTGTTTACCCTCTCACTGATGTGTGCGCTCACATTTCAGTGTCCCCAATCGTCCTCGTCAAAGTTTACACAGCTTTCATGTCTGCCCTAATTTGCAGGACACCACAAAATGAAAATAGGATGCCAGAATCTGGCAGTCTGGGATCACAATAAGAAAATAACCCCCTGAGAACACTCAGAGCCCACTCTGATGGCACTTTGGTCAGTTTCAGAGGCAATTTTACTGACCCACAAAATATTACTAAAAAACCCCACAGGGCTTGAATGACTGTAAATGATCCCATATATACTGACCTGTTCTACATTTGGTTTTGTGAATGATAATACTGCAAATGAATTGGTGCCTCAACCACTTTTGCACAGATGAAATGTTTATTCAGCTCTGCCTTCACTCGGGGAAAAACTAGAATATTCCTCATCCTTCAGCTCTGTGTAATCATAGCTGATATTTGAGCAGATGCTTTTTGTCTCATCATCAAGGAGATTCTTTTCTTTATGTGATTAACATGCCCGCAGGTAAATGGAAGGATGCACAAAAGACGGGGAACAAGGAAGATGAAAAAGCAATCTAAGCAATGAATTATTCATCTTTAGTCCCAAAGAGTGCGCAAATCTCACAAACAACCTTGAAGACATTGCCGAGGCCAGTGTGGGCTGACGCATGAGGTTTTGTCTGGATTTCACACGTGTGTGCTTGAGTCAGTATTTACACAAAAATGACAGCAAACAGCTGAGAGCCTGTGTCTATGAAAGTACTTAAACTAAATGAGCACGGTGAGGTAGTCAGAGCGTGGAGGATCATTTGGAGGGTTAGATGACAACTACTCTGATCCCCCAAAGAGTCTGGGCACTCTAACGTACATGACAGGGTGAAAAATGGAGACTGGAGCCAGGGGAAACAAAGTGGACTCACATTACAAGCAAGTCCACTTTATGTTCTAGCGTTCATGTTTGGAGGCATAACAAACAGCATGTCTGACCTTTAGGAAAATGAACCTCAGATAAAGTAAACGATCGATGTATTTGTGGTATTTTGCTTAGAAAAGAGGCATTTGAGATGGTTGACACAAGTCCTCTCTTTTCTTTTTTAATGCAAAGACCCCCTTTTTAAAAAATGTGGTTATTGATGAATCCTAAACTACTGATAGCTTTAACAAACTATGTGGACAAATGATGGAAATTGCCAGATTTTGCAAATATAGGACTTCTCAATTAACTGCTATTTCACTGTTAATTATTAATCACTAAATAATTATTGTCTAATTATGACGTTTTCCACTTTTTTAATTTTGTGACTATTTGAATTAATTTGATATTTGGAGGGTTAGGCTGTCTGGAAAAAAAACCCCCCAAACAAAACTGGGCACTACCCAGAAACATACCGTGTGTGCCAAAGATCAATCCATTTAACTCACTGTTTGTGCGTTTGAGATAATTGACATGTGATATCTTCATGAAAACATCTGTCTCACTGTCCAAGGAGCAACCATTGTTTTTCTGACATTTTTTTGTTTTTAAGACTCTAAATAAAAAGCTGAGCAGTTCGGAGGTTTGGTGAATGATGAGCCAAATGGGGCGACTGTGGCTCAGGGGGTTGGGAAGCATATCTGTAACCGGAAGGTCGCTGGTTCGATCCCCGGGCTCTCTGTCCTGGTCGTTGTGTCCTTGGGCAAGACACTTTACCCTACCGCCTACTGGTGTTGGCCAGAGGGGCCGATGGGGCGATATGGCAGCCTCGCTTCTGTCAGTCTGCCCCAGGGTAGCTGTGGCTACAACTGTAGCTGCGTCCATCAGTGTGTGAATGCAAGAGTGAATGAATTGGTATTGTAAAGCACATTGGGTGCCTTGAAAAGCGCTATATAAATCCAATCCATTATTATTATTATTATTAAACCTTTTCATCAGCTGTAATTAGAACCCGACTGATATATCATTCGATATTAAATATTTGCAGATTGCAGGTTTTGGTGATGTTGCATAGTTTCTTCATCAGATGCATTTCCATTTCCTTGTTGGTAACACATATTTGACATGCTACAAACGCAACAATCAGCTGAATCAAGCAGTTCTGGGGAGAGATTAAGCAAGTTAATCCATAACTTTATATTTTCAGAAAACTTGACCTTGAATCTGAGGAATGGTATCAAATAAATTACCATTTACTTATCTACTTTCAAGGGAAAAAAACAAAAATAACATTTATTATGAAATTTAATTTCTTGGAAAAGGGTTGTACAAATGAAAACATGCCAAGCTCTATCAGTCTTTTTCTGTTTTGGTAGTTTTATTACAACTCTTTGCTCATACTCTGTTTTACTGTCACCTCTCACACTTTTAACTTAGCATCCACCCACATATACTCCCTAAGCTCCTGTCTCCATTATTTTCTGTCAATCAAAGCATCTGGGTCATGCAGAGAGCACCTGCCAATCAAAGGCAGGGTCTGCTGAGGTGGCAGCTTCAAACACACAGACAAAGACGCATGTGTAAAAAGACGCCTTCACAAAGCTTCACACACGTTCTGTTTCAAAGCAGAGGTCAAGGACACAGGCTGCTGGGAAAACACATCTTTGCATCTTATCAAAAGAGACAGTATAATGATTTTATGTGAAGGACCCGAACCAGCAGAGATTGTTTTTAAAAACTGCAATAACAATATATCAAACAAGTGTCTTTGCATATACAGTAAAATGAAAAGTGGGAACTCTTTAGGATCACCAGCATTTCTGTACTAATTTCTCATACAGAGTGATTGATCATTATTTATTTCACAATTACACACTGTTGTCTGTAAACTGTTGTACTTTTCATGACTTTATTGAACACAGAGTGCTCACTTATCGTGCAAGCTGTTAGTGCACTCTTTAATTTAGCATCCTTTAAAACCTTCTTTACCATTTCAATTTAATTCAATAAATTGTTTTTAAAATCATAACAGTCCCCTCAAGGTGGTTTATATTGTCAGGCAGACCCTACAATAATACAGAAAACCCCAACAATCAAATAGCCCCCTCTTTGAGCAAGCACTCGGCAAGAGTGGGAAGGAAAAACTCCCTTTTAATAGGAAGAAACCTCTCACAGTCTGAAAATCAAGACCAAGCAAGTGTTTACCCTTCTCCTCCCCAGAGGGTTCTGTCCTCCATAGCTCACCTTAGGACACCTGTGTTACAGTTTAACAGATTTACCACAAACTTCCCACCGGAGCGAGTTTTTGACCCACTCCACGTGCTACTCCTGCAAAGCAGCACAGAGGTACACCCCCCATTCAGCATCGTGAGAGACTCCTCTGTGTTTTTAAGAAGGTGAAATAAAGTATATCGATTTGTTATGTCAGGTTGTGTCTATAATTGTGAGCCAGATTTAAATTACACCACAGTACACCCTGGAATTCTTTGTAATTGTACATGAACTGTATATAGAAAATGGTCGAGTTATATCGAAAATGATGGATAAATTGTGGCCACGTTATGGACTTCAAAGAAATGCAGTTCACAAACTAGTCTGCAATGTTCCATTAGAACATTGTTGGACTCGGCGCCACAGTTTACACCACATGATATACACTCGGCTCCAAGTTCTTTAAGCAGTAGTGACAGCATCAGAAACAATGGAGCTGGAGCTACACAACTGGAGGATCCCAAACAGGTTTTCCAGCATTATATTGTGTGTAAAACATTTTCACGTAAAAGAGACATTAAGGTGACACAGTAACCTGTTCATAGACTAGACTATTTCGATCAAATAAAGAATATATTAGTCAAAATCGAGGTGGCGGTTTTCCTAAAAAATTCAATGAATAACCATTTGGATTATCAACATTTAGTCTTATTGAAAGGAGGAGAAAGGGGAAAAAAAATTACAAAACATAATTGGGCTTCTTTCAGTGACTCGATGTCACTGAAGATGACATCAATGAGAACGGGAACATTATTTTCTTGTACACGAGCCAGAAAAGTTGCAAAAAAAAAAAACTGGCAACAAGTGCAGAAGCAGTCAACATAGCTGCTTTATCCAAGCTGCTGTACACTGCATAAATAATAACTTTTTAAAAAACTATTTATAAAGAGCTCCGAATAAAGAGTAGTCTGGCAAAATGCCAGCCAAAGTAAGTAATAAAAGAGTTTTAAAACTTTTATCAAGCTGCAGAAAGACACCGATACTGTTGGTAAAAAAATTTTTTTATAGGTGTAAAAGCAGTTCTCTTAATCTTCAGGTTGTTTCTTGCCTACACACCATCCTTTGGGAGAAAAGAGTAAGGACTGAATAATAAACTTTTACCTGTAGCCGTGTGTACAGCCTGTAGATACTGAACCTATGTAAAACACTATTCTGTTTGGGCTATATTTAACTCTGATACATGAAAATCTAGAGATGAAAGACAGGGACTGTATACACAGGAGCAAAGAAGAGTCACTGCGAGGTTCCAAAGAGGGAGTGGGTGCTGTGTGTAGAAAGGTAGCACTGTGTTACGCTAAGACAGAACAGTGTGTGGTAATAACACTGTCAGTCACAGCTGGATCTCATTAAGAAAGGGGAGCTCAGACTCATTCCTCATTAGTCTGGCTTAACTACTGTCTACACACCTACACATTAACATACACGAAGCAACGCTGCACATGCTGTCAACACACGCTGTCAACACACGCTTCCAATCTTCAAACGGTCTCATCCAATACCAACATTGGCAGTATTCATAATTCAAACACAGAGTTATTGCAAATAAACCCCCATCACAGAAAAGAAAGGTGTTTTTCATCCTGTCTGTTACATTTAGTTTCACCCTGAAATAAGTACAAACCAATTAAGCTTTTTAGGAAGATAACAGAGCCTCCAAATAGTGGTTGTCTACTTGTCACAGAAGATAATACGGTAAGAAAACCCTGCAGCTGCACAGATTTTAACTCGTGGTCTCTGTTAGGTTTGTTTGCTGATACGGTACTAAAGAGAGAGACGGCCTCACTGCCTCTCTGTTCTGAAAAGTTCATCCTCGTAATGAATTTAAACAAATGTATCTCGTCTCTATTTGACAATTTCTGTCTCCGTGTTCTGTTTATCTTACAGGTCTTCTAAATCACACAAAGAAAAACCATATTTAACTTTATGGCAATTTACTTTAATTTAACCTTAAACATAATTCAATAGGTTTAAAAAAAAAAAAAAAAAAAAAAAGAGTTACACACTCGCTCCAAAACAGAAGACTGGATAAAACTCAATAAATACACATTTAATAAACAATAAGTGTTTGCTTCCCAAGTTTGAAAGTGACAGTAATTTTATTGTAACAGTGATCATTAAAGATCGATTATGTTTAAGAGTTTGTGTGTGAGAGAGGCTTTTATTGGATGATTGAGCTGAGACTGATGGCTCTGCATTTCCTTACAGGTACTCATAAATATTCCACTGCTGATAACCACTTATTTATCTACAGTTAGTGTTTATCAATTTCTGAGCCATAGCTAAACCTCGCCAATAATATGCTATAAATCATAAAACTGAACTGTGCAGTTTAAAGTGCATTTAATTAATTCAATACTTAATTGTCCCACAGGGGGAAAGTAGATTAGCATTGATACAATTAGAAAACTGCTTAGACCAATAAAATATGCTTAGTTTGTCTATCAGTCCCTCCTACACATTGTCTGGGCCAATAGAAACCCTGGTATGATGGTAACACATTATGCCATGTTATAACGACTTTGCTCACTTCCCCTCACGGTTCGCTGAGCCTGCTGTTACATAGCGTGGCTTATTAGCCAGCTATATATCAGGTGAGACATGAAAATATTTCAGTTACATTGTGAAGTGACACTAAGCCGCAGCCAGCTAAATCCCTGTTAGGATTATGAGGAGGTCGTTGGAAAGTTTTCTTTCCTGCAAGTGCTCCTCAGTCCCAAAAGGTTTCAAATTCCTGCTATAGATGACTGGACAGCAACATTATATAGCTTCATGGAAAATGATGACTGAAGTGAAAATACAGTGAAATCACTCACTTTTTAAAAATTTTTATTTTCCTATATTTTATTATATTGTATTGTTGCTGCTGTTTGTACTATTGTAAGGTGACCTTGAGGGTCTTAAAAGCGCCTATAAATAAAATGTTTCATCATCATCATTATTATTACTATTATTATTATTACTTTGCAACAAAAAAAAAAATCACCATTCAAGGATGTTGCTGCTCAAAACCACTTTGATCTACCTGAAGTTTCATATTAATTACACTGCTCTCACATAACTCCCTATAATCAATAACACTGCTAAGGCAACAAGGTCAAATAGCAGCAAATTAATGTGGCCCGGCCATAAAAATCATGATGCAGACACTCAAGGAAGGTAAAGAAAGGCTCATTTCCTGACTCATGCATGCACAGAAGCAAACATAAAACATCCATCATCACCTGCCTAGTCCTCCAGCTTGCCAGTTGACTATCCATCTGTTAATGCATTCATTCATCCATCAATCAATCTGCCCACCCTCCATCTTCAAACCATTTATTTCTCCCTGCTTTTGGCTCATAGTCTGTGCACTTACAAGTGCATCAGTCTGACTGCCAAGCCACCTATCCATCCATTAATGAGCCTCTCCATTTATCTATCTGTCCCTGAGTGCTCTTCATTTGTTTTGTCAAGTACAACAAATAAAATGGAGACTTAAGAGTGGGACCATCACCTCATCTGTTTCTCTTTTTTTCCAGTTTCTCCATCATACTTTGGGTGCTGTAAAACTGAACAGGCTGAATATGGCACTCTCTTACCATGGCAACTATACCTAGGACAAAAAAACTCAAACACTATATATTCAATTTGAAACAGATTTCATCTTTTCATTTCCTCTCACTGAACTAAAGAGCAAACCCCAAGCAGATTGTCATATCTGATCTTCAGGCAAATACTATGGTGCTCCATAAAAAAAAGTGTGCACACTGAAAGGGTATATTTTAAAAACCACAATGCTTTAATATTCTGTTGGAATTTCTAGATAACAAACACCAGACCCATATATCTGTCAACTAGCATGTAAGTCTCTGATGTGAAAGACATGCTTAAAAAATGAATGAACAGATAAATAAACAAAAAGAAATATTTAGTAGCCCCTATGAAAGATTGGACAATAAACTGAAATACTCTAAGTACTGTTAGGGGTCAATGTGCATACATTCAGGGCTGTGTGTGTGTGTGAGTGTGTATATGTTTAGACATCTTTGTGAGGGCAGAAAATTTGCACACTACTATACTTGTGGGGACCAAATGTTGTTTTAGTGTCAGGGTTAAAGTTGGGTTAGAGTTAGGCTTAGGCTGAGGATTAAGCATTCATTTTTGATGGCTAGGGGAAGCGTTATGTCAATGAGATGTCCTCACTAAGATGTGAAAAGGAGTGTGTGTGTGTGTGTTTTTAACCAGCATTACATTTACAATCTGCAGAGTTACTGATTATAACAATACAATAGTTTCATTTAATACAACACTCTGTTGGCCTTCTGTCCAGCTAAAAAACACTTCTCCTTACTGCTTGCTTATATAAAGAAAAAAAGCAACAGAAAACGGTCCAGTGACTCACTTTGTGTCCAAACCCACATTTGAGTTAGCATTTACATTGCCTCAATACAACAGCAATCATTGTTTCTATTATTATTTGTGTTTTACAATGTATAATTCAAAACTTGACGTACCCCTGACTAATGCTTGCTGTCTCCGCAGATCATTTTTTCAGCAGAGATATAATTAAAGAAATGACTGCTTTCAGAGACAGAATAGTTTGCCACTGCATGCCTAACTTTACTTTAAGAGTTCTTCATTTCTGCTGGCTGACTGCCGAGTGTAATCGATATACTGGGAATACTACATTCCCCTTCTTCCATTTTCTTCTACTCCATTCAATTTGTTCTCATTAAACAAGATCCATTATGCTTTTCATCTTTCCTTCACTTAGTGATAATCTGTTCTCATTCTCTTCATTGCTCTCCTGATTCCATGATCATTTCAAGCTCACAAGAACATCGACACTTCCCAAATGCAGCAATGCAGGAACTCGAGCATTAAATCATATTTAATGCTTAAAAGAAATGCTTCATTACAACACTGGAAAAGCCATTTCACCCCAATAAATGGAACTCTGAAATGTATGAACAGTTCAGCAAATGCAGGATTTAAGCTAATGTCTAATCATGAAAAAGTAAAACATCAAAAACGTCATAAATTAATGCTAACAACTACAATGCTTTAATGAGAGCCCTGGAGCTATGCGATAAAGTCAACACAAATACATGTACTTACGCTGGCCCCAGCGGCCCGTCCGGGGGTTCAGGTAGTTTGGGTAGAGCCCGTTGGGTCGGTCCATTTTGGCTAGTAGCTTTCGGATGTGCATCACCTGACGGGAACACCAGTCGGTTTTAATCCAAACAGGAAATGTTCTCCTTTTTAATCTAAATATTTCAGCACTTCTATTTGGAATGTGGTTTCTCTTATTTAAGATAAAAGGCTATATTTTTTTTCTCAAAAAACTGTTTTTAGACCGTTATCCGCAGTTAAATAACAAATCAGGACGCCAGCATGAAAATTAGGACATACAGTGTACATTCATACTATTACCTTCTGATAGTAGGCTGGGTTTCCTGTCAGGTAGGTGAGGTGAACAAACTCCATGTGGAGGGTCCCAAACTCAGCCAGGATACTACTGCCTGCTGACGCCCAACCCCAGTTACGGCCGACCCCACTGAAGAAAACAAGAACAAACAAGCACAAAGAACTGAGACTTGGTCATGGTGGCAAAAAACAGAAAAATATCGGGAAGTTAAATAAGTGATAAAGACTTTTATTGGCTCAATATTTCTGTGTAGGCTAATTGGGTTTCAACTTAAACCAATGATGGATGGACAGTTTGAATAAGGATTTACGTGTCAGTTTTTATGGCAAGGATTTTCAGATATCTGCTTTATTCACATTATCAGAGCCCAACAAGGCTAGCCAGGCCTTAATTCTTATCATTATCATGGTTTCCTCTAATGTTTCTTATCTTGGATCTATCAAGGAATTTGTATAACCAACACATATGCTAACCATTTCGCTACTGTTGCCTTTAACAATGCGAAAAAAGACAATAAACACATTTGTCCTGACCAGGACTGCAGCACATCATATCATCAATGGCAACACCAGATTAAATTAAACATGATATAAAAGTATCATGTTGTGATATCACAGATAAATGCCAAACATTTTAATTCCACGCTGTGCACGCAAGACGAAACTCCCAGGAACATGTGAGAGCAAGAGCCACATTTCAGCCTCTGTTAAGGATTTAGTATTTAAAAAGGAAGCTACTTAAACTACCTCCAACATAATACGTAAGAAAACTGTTTCTTCTAAAGGTGAAAACAACTTATTTCACTACTTGAGGCAAAAACACAGTCAAGCACAACCAGACTGTGAAGGCATGCATAATACCAGCAGCTGCAATAAACGTTAGCAAATGACTCCACTCATCCTTGGAGCTCTCGCTAGCTGCACTCCATAAGACAGGAAGAACACATGCTTCATGGAAATTACTGATGCGGTTACACTGAAGTAAAGAAGGGTTTAAAGATACAACATGCCAGAAAAAACACATTTTGATTTTCAATTTTATTACGTTGCAACCTATTTAAAAGCTACAAGGTTAAATTAATTTTGTCACTGTTAAACTAAAGTGTTAATCAGTCATGTTGCACTTTTACTTAAAATTAGAAACCATGCAAACTAAATTTAAGAAAGTTTGATACTATTTTAAGTCTTTTAAATGCAGGTGTATTTCGGACCTTTTTTAAGGACTTGCGTCAGGTTTAATAGGAACCTAATAAAAAATTTAACAGGAATGCAAAAGAAGTAAACTTTTTTAATGGCATGTTTTAAATTTTTCATCTTCATAACAACCATATAAATGTGCTAATATGGTATATAATCAATTTAAATATCTTTTGGTCTAGGGAAACACAGCAGAGCTTCAGGCTGTTGATGTGCTCTGAAGTCTTCTTTTCTCAGTCATGTGACGCAGGACGTGGATGGGAAAGCTTCAGCTTTACATGACAGGATGCAACATTAATAGGCTGTGACTTGTGTGTTTGTGTGTAAAGCACCTTATATAAACAGGTTTGTCACTTATTGTTTTTTCTGGTTTGTTTAAATTCCTCTGTGTACAGTTGTTCCCAAGAGTATTTGTGGTGCGTGTGACTGTGTAGCTATGGGATGGTGATCTGTGTACACGCACACACACACACATAATAACTGAATATGTAGTGACCAGCAATTATGTAATTTGATTTCATTGTTTCATGCTGAATAAGAAGATGTAAACTGATAATAGAGAGGGCAGGCTAGGACAGGAGAGAGAGTACACATGAGGCATAAAACTGCACAAAGTTTCTCATTCTGTGCATGGGAGAAATGAAAGGGAGGAGGAAAGAAAATGAGAATAGAAACACTAACAAGAACAGAAAGAGATGAATGTTAGAGTAACATTATACATCAGGCAAGCAGACCACTGTTAGAACCGACATTACAAACAGGATGGTTACATGTTTCTAAAAGTTGAATTTAACACTGGTTCTGGATTTTTTGCAACTTTTTATAAAACTAATTAGCACAACTTCCAAAAATTTCCCCCAAGACTTGGGCTTGGCTTTATTGAGACGCACACACACACAGGCCCACACACACCCTTTCTGAGTTTGGAAGACCTAAAAAAAAGTCAAAGCCAACTTTTAAATACATTAAAAGCAATGGTTTTACTTGTAAGGTCCAAGCAGCAAAACTGTGAATGTGTTTCTACCTTTTATTAACTCTTTCAGTGGATTCAACAGCACCTTAAAAATGTGTATGTTGGTACGATAAAACACTGCACTAAATACTCAGCGTCAGACGGTATTTTTTCTACTCTTACATCTGTATGATATCGCTCACAGGGGATATTACTAATACAGTTAACATAGACACACAGCTCTGGCTGTGAGCATCGTCTACCTGCTGGTCAAACCTTCTGTCTGCAAGGAACTATAAATCACAGCAAAGCTGACCTAAACTGAGAGGCAGGGAGACTAAAAAGTCTAGTGTTTAACCATTATGTATAAACCATTTCAGGTGGCTACATCATGAAGCTCACTGAGAGAAGGCCAAGGGTTTGCAGCGCTGTCAACAAAGCAAAGGGTGGCTACTTTCAGGAATCAAAAATGTAATGTATTGAGAGTTATTTATCAATTTATCAAGGTTTAAATTAATAATAATAATAATAATAATAATAATAATGAAAATACATTTTATTTGAGGGCACCTTTCTAAAACCCAAGGTCACCTTACAAAGAGAAAAAGATATCAATAAAACATAAGATTAAATTAAATGGTTTCCCTGGATTTTAAGTGTTCAATTGGGTGCTCAATAGGGAAGGCGGGAAGTTTACTATTAGGCTACTTTATCCATTAGAGAACCAGTGCGTGCTAATGCTTGTTTGGGATTATTGTCCTATCAGAACACCCTCTCAGCTGAAGGTGATAAACTGGCTTCCCTCTGAACTATGACGTTGGTGTTCCAAGTCATGACAGGCTTGAGTCTTCATGGCTTCTAGGTTGTTCCTTGAACATCTTAACTAATTTCCTCTGATCTGAGGGTGAAAGTCTGGCTCTTCTTTCAGACAAAGTGGTGACACATCTAAGTAACACGTACTTAGTTGTTTGAACTGATGCTCAGTGTCTGTAGTTGTTTAGAAATCACTCCATCAAGCTTCTGGAGTGGTGTTTCTAAAGCCCCAAACTCAACCATATTGAAAATGTTTGGACTACACTTAAATGACGGGTCAGTGCCAAGACACCGACCATTGAACTCCACCCATTCTGCCAAGAAGAGTGTCAAATATCCAGACAGAATTATGCCACAAACTTGTTGATGGCTATATGGTCAAGATTCAACTTCCAGAGTGGTTTTTAACCAAATATTAGTGAGGTTATATATGTATATAACTGTGTCAATTAGAGATAATCCAAAACAAATTCACATTTATGTGCTTTATTCTTGTTTTTTAAAGCCATTCGAGATGTATGCTGCCCTAGAAAGAGAACACTTCAAAGTAATCAATAAAACACCAAAATGACCATGACATTCGTGCTCGTGATGAGTGGATGTAAACTTCCAACCACAACTGTAGTTGTTAAGTAAAGCAAACTGATATCTGTAAACTCTTCATTAGTATTCTGGTGAAATCTGTTAAATCTCGTGTAGTCTTAGAAGAAAACTGGCATTTCTGATCGTGTGGAATTTATTTCATACTCATTTCAGCATTTAAGAGATGGGATGGTTTTTAGTGGTAGTGTCACTAACCTCTTAAGGTTGACCATGGCCCAGGGGATACCAGTGGGGGTGTTGAAGGCAGGAAGCAGCTTCTCAGCTAGCTGGACTGCCTTCAGTTTGAAAACCTAGAGAGTGTGAGAGAAAGGGTTCACTTTAAACATATACACTTCATTCATTTGCCCGGCTAAATGTTCGACTCAAAAACCTGACAAACACAAGCATAAAACACCTGCCAACAACCAAACAAATGCAGAATGGTGGATCCTGGGAGAGACATGATTGCTAAATGACGGCCACAGAGCTGAGCTGATTTTTGGAGAATACAGAAATCTTAATATATGCAAAACCTCCCTTCAAACTGTGCTGCCGTTTGAGAGAAATACCGATATGTCTCGGGAGAAAACCTTGCAGGGCATAGGACACAGTCTAGATTTCTATTATCATGACTGGTGTCTAATTTCTACAGACTGATGCAGAGAAATGGACATGTGTTCGTTTGGAGATTACACAAGTTCTGCTGCTAGTTTGACAGATGAAGGCTCAGAAGCCCTCGCTGCAGCGCTTGTTCTTTTCTCAGCTTGCCAATCAAAGAGATAAAAGGAAACTAAGGTTATTCTGCTGCTGAACTGAATACAAGCAAATGCTGAAAGCTGAAAATGCCACTGTGGATGTTGTGATTCAGCTCAGCAGCAACTGAGACGACAACAGCTACTGAAAAGACCTTTTTCCAGCAGGCGTTTACTTTCATCCGCGGTCAGTTGACATTCTAATAAACTATCCTACACATTTTACATCATATTTGAATAGAACAGAAAGAAGACGGCTTTTGTTTCTTACTGTTGCAGCATTGGAGTCTCATATTCAATACTGGGTTCACTTAATAAGGCCAGAATATGTGGAAGTAACTCTGTAGGCAGCAGTAAAGTAATGTCTGTTTGACGTCATTGAGATGGGATATTCTTAATATGGTCATCTAAAGTACACAGATCCAGCTGCGAGCACAGAAGCACACCTGCAGAACGGGTGGGTGGTTGTGGTGGGAGTGTGGGGGGAAAGTAGTGTTGTGTTGCAGGAATGCCAGTGAATGATGATGTTATGGCCTTTCAATAGTCAAAGTAATGAGTGAAAGTGATTTATTTTTTACTCTAATTTTCTCTTTTATGCAATTAAAGTAGTACAGTTACAAATCCTCTTTGGGGGTTGCGTCAGTAAGGGTATTCAGTGTAAAACTCTGCTAAATCAAACATGCGGTGCAACCCACTGAGGTGACCTCCTGTGGCAGGGAGGAGCCAAATGTAGCCTCTTTATATATTTTATTATAAGAGTCATAATAAATTTAATCTGCCTTGCAATAGTTTTACATCATGTTGTATGTTCACATATAACTGACACTAGGAAGACAGACATGTTTTGGTGTACACAGCTTTATGCGCACAAGTTCAATCTCATGTCCTGCCTGATTTTTAAGCTACTTTAAAAAAAGATTTCCAACAACCATTTTTGTAAGGCAACATTAAACATGGATGTAGCTTCTGGGTTGAAAAAATTAAGCCAATGCACAAGTGCCTAAAAACCTGTATTCTATCTGAAAACCACCACATGCCGATAACAGTTATTACCAACCCCCAGTGGTTGGTAATTAACACAAGAGAAGAAGACACCCTACAATGAGTTGAACATGAACTTGTTAGTTATTACTGCTTCAAAATCTTATTTGGTTTTTATATGTACCCATTTCTACTTTAATAGCAGGAAATTAACTAGGCTTATAATTCCTTTGTCTCTCTCTTTTCCATATTTTTTAAAAAACCTATATCTGACAACTGCATAATAAAACACAAAATTCTGTTTTTGGTGTGCCACCCCAATATTTTTAGTGCCCCCCCATATGGGAACCCCTAAGAAATAATACTGGAGGCGACACTGATCATGTCTGCTTTTTGCAACCAAGATGGCGACTGTGGAAACGCTCATCTCCAGGCTTCAAACGGAGCCTTGAGAAACCAGTGAGTGATCATGCTACCTACATCCATGTCTTATACAGTCTATGGCCGAAACCTTGTCTGCGTGTAAGGAAGACACGTTTGAAGGGGTCAGGAGACACAGGTTAAATTTATATAGAAGAAAACAAACAAAGTGGACAATATTGTAGAGCTTATGGTCTGAGTTGAAAAGATACAGTAAATGTAAGGACTTAATACAATATTATATTTTCAGTTGATATGCCCACTACTTATGGTAAGCTACATTAAAAATGCTGTATAACAAAAATGAACTGTTGTGCTTTGTTCTTTTTTTTTTTTAAAACCACATATTGTACATTGTGGAGGGTGGCTAATAGCATCTGCATGATTACAGTCATGTACAAAAACTATCATTCACTGTTACATGCCATGATAAGTGGCACTGCTGCTGTTCTTTTTCTCTTGTCTTCCAGGTGTAGAGCTTCCACCTACTGGTCCATTCAAATTGAACTGGTACGCATTTATTGGCTGATCTGAGCACAGTAAGCCAATTACAGTTAATCAAAAAAACATGATTATTGAACATGTGTGCTTATAGGAGGTGGAAAAAATATTATCACAGAGTCAATAAATGAATTAATAAATCAATAAAGTTCATGGAGTATTTGCACCGAGACAAAGAAATCCTATGAACTTAACAGAAGTTTCCACAATAATCAACAGAATCCATGACATAAACTGGGAGGTCTGGGTGAGCTGATATGGACCGACTCAAATCTGATCTCACTGCAGCATTTTAGTAAAGTGTGAATGGCAAACATGTTGCCAGTAAAAAGAAAATGGTTCAAGAATGCCAGGCCTGTAAAAACTTTCAATTTCCAGTTTTGCAATGTGTATTTCACTCATGGAGGACAGTTGTGGCACAAATGCCCAAAGAGGCCTTTATATAACTAGTAGACAGCAGTGCCACAGAGAGAAGTGGTTCAACACAGGGCAGACGGAGGCTGATTCATCAACACAATCTGTCAGGGCTGAACAGTTTTATAGAGAGACCAGATCTATGGTAAATTCCTGCTGTCTCACAAAGTAAGAGGGAGCAATAACACATGCTGGTGTTTGCAGAATACTTAAGCAGCCAGGGGGACACTGTACAGAAGACTTGGAGGTCAAACTGTGGAGTTAAACATGAAACAAATAGACAGAGACAAGGGGAGGGAGAGTGGGAATGACGCCGTCAAGTCGATGCAAAATAGGCCTGCATATGAACAAGATATGAATTGCATGAAAGGAAATGAAGAAAATTAACTCAGAAGGCTGAGAAGGGATGAAAGAGGCAGAGAGAAAAAGAATGATGAAAAAGTAGGCTGGTATAGACGGGACCACACCCAGGACAAGACTATCACATCTCATCTGAGGGCAGATGCTGTCCAACCAGTACTGGTGGGATTTTTATCAAACAGACTGAATTATCTCAAACCAAACACACACACACACACACACACACACACACACACACTACAAAGTAAAGGAGGACGGCTGACAAAATAAACTGAGACCCAGCTGAGCAACACTTATAAATGTATGCAGATTTAAGATTGTCTCACAGTACAAGTAGCAACTTGAGTACTTAGAGGGTAGTGAGAAACTGTACAACTGAACCATGTTTGTTCTGTGTGTTTGAAAGCTTTCTTCAGAGACGTTGCACACTGTAAATGTGAATTTTACCTTCCACAACAATAAAGACTATTAAGGGCAACTTTGCTATTCTATGCCTCTTCTACACACATTAATATTTTACAGACATACTGGTTTATTTTTAAAACCCTCAAAAAACTATAATTTCAAGCAGGTACACTGTACGCTTTAGGAAACCTATGACACTAGCAGAAAATGATGGCGGTGTTGTTTCACCATGCACGGTGTGTAAACAGCCGGTTAACTGCTGGGAATCACTTACAGAACTGTGGGCGTATGTGGAGCCGAAAAGCTGTTTCTTCACGCAGTGATAATGGCACGCCTACATTAGCAATTCCTATGGAGAGATTTGCCTTTACCTTCTGCACCCGACTGACTTTTTTTTTGTCAGGTTGTGAAAGTTGCGCTGTGCATGTACTCAGCCGTCATAAACCTTTCCATCTATCCGTGGCCTGTCGGCTGGGTGCACCGAGGCCCTTGACAAACTTTTATTGGCAATCTTGCTGCTGATGCCATCAAGCAGGAACAGGAGCCAAACGACCCACCGGGGAAATAGTCAGCCGCGTTCACAGATAAAATTGGACTCTTTATGATAATCATTTCCCTCCACTGCCTCCATTTACATGCAGAGCTACAGGGGAAAAAACGTTAAGGAAAAGCAGCCAGAAACCAGATAGGTTTACTTTTCTAACAGACAGCACCAAAGAGAGACAGATGTAGTGTTTCTGCTTAATAACTATCCGTACATTTGCCTGACTGAAGCATGGCTACACTTAATACATGTAATGTTTGAGCCATTTTACTTGTTTTGAGGCAATTAAGCCTGATTTGAATCAAACTTTGTCAATGACTGCATTATTTAGTGAAAGTCATGTGGACATTTTTGGTACTAAATTTGTAGAAAAGTATGACAAGTGTAGCTTGATTATCTATTTATCACTTACAGTATACGAAAGGTTGTTGTTGTACCAACAGATTACATAAATGGGGCCTGTTTTGCTCTTTCCCAGCTTCATATTTTTAACCTTGGGTTCTCCCAGAGTTAGTAAAAATTATCATACTAAATACTGCATGACTTCCAAACTTCTTGATGCATGCTCAATCATCCAGGTAAGTAAATCTCCAAAAAGTTGATTCTGTTCATCTGGACGTAGCGTTTTGTGGGAAAAAAGTTTCGTTACTCATCCAAGCGACTTCTTCAGTCTCAGCTGACTGCAGGTTTCAATCTTATAAACAGTACATTTGCATAATGACTGAAACCAGCCCACTGAAGGAACAATGGGCTTGGAGGTCAGTTCCTTAATCTTAATTATGCAAATTGTCATGACCACTGATCAACAACCACTGACCAAAACCCACTGATCAAAGACCACTGATCAATGGCCATGAGTACCATTCACAATCACAGCATTGTAAGATGGTCACAGATGTACCCTTAGGCCTCCTCCTCGTATATTGCCTCCTTG